TAGTAGTAGTAGTAGTAGTAGTAGTAGTAGTAGTAGTAGTAGTAGTAATAAAATAATAAAACCCCTATAACCCCAAAATGAAAAAATACTTTTTCCACATAAGTCTATTTTCATCTTCTTGGAAGAAATAAATGGAAAGCAAGTCCGGGGGGCAATGTGGAATCAGCTTCTAAGTTTCTGCCCATCCCTTTCCCTTGACCCAGTGACTCTTCTTCTCAGCTAGAGAAAGGAGCTCAGAGAATTACAAATGCCTTCAGTGTACAGGTATCACTTCAATGATGGGAGCAATTTAGAAGAAACCCAAATTATCATCCATGCTCACTAGAAAGACCATCAAGATACTTTCAACCTCACCCCTGCAAACCAAGAGGTAGACAGAACTGCAGGGTTATCACTTGGTTCTTTGTTTTCTAAACTGGTGATGTTTGGAAAGAAGGGGTAGAGGCACAGATGGAACCACCTCTGTGGCCCTGGGCCAAGCTGGGGTCTCACCATAGGTGCTCAGGAGGCTTTCGAACTGGGCCAGGAGTCCGATGGTGTAGAGCTGCCGCAGGAAGCCGTCGTCGTGCAGGCAGTTCCTCAGCTTGATGATAAAGCCGCAGATGAGAGCTGTCAGCTGTGGGGAGGCACAGGAACAGTGTGGACAACAGGCTAGCACATGTCCTGGTCCCTTTGTTTCCGTGGCTCCAGGAACATCAGCAGCATCTCTTATCCCTCAGGGAAGGGCTAGGGGCTGGGACCACAGTAATCAAAGGCTATGGGAAGGGTGGTAAACACCATAATCTTGCAGCACCTGTCAAAGATGGGCTTGGTTTGGGCTCAGCTTCCGACATGACCTGCTTGGGGTTGTTCCTGAACTGAAACTTTCTGGAAGCTTAGAATCAATTCCCCATAGGAAAGGGCTATCTATTCAGACCCACACCAACCCTGGAAAGAAGAGTGAATGTAGCTGCCTAGTTTCCTTACAGAGGTTTTCTGTGTCATCAAACAGGCTTCCCAGCATCAGTGGGGGAACTACAGAGCACCAGCCCCCTACCAAGCTACTGACATCATTAGTTCCATTATTGGCATCTTTGAACTTGGGAGCGTCATCTTACCTCTTCACTGAATGGTAACTGAAATCTTTAGATAGAGCCCTGTGACAAGCCACAGAACTTGAGTGCCTTCCCTTTCAACTGCACTGATGAGTACCTATGTGGCCCTCCATCACATTCCTTGGAGAGAAAAGAAGAAGGCGACAGAGAGGCCTCTGCCATTGCCTTTTGGCGCTGGGCTCTCCTGTCAGAGCTAGCTCTTCAGGAGGACTAACAGTCGTCAGTAAGCTGTCTCCTTTCTGTGCTGCTCTACTAAGTGAACATAAAAGCAACAGGTTGGGAAAACAAGGCCACCTGTGATTTCCACAAGTAAAGGTGGAAGGGCAGGGTGCCTTTGTCTGTTTTCTCTATGGTAGAAGGTGCCCATGACTACCCTTCTTTCCTCTGGGGCTTACGGTTTGGCAGAAGACGACGTCACGGCGGTACTGCAGGCTCAGGTATGAGGCAATGGTGGGGGCACTGTCCTGCATGAGCAGGAAGACCATAGCCTTCTTGGCTTTGTCGCTCATCATGGCCACACAGTCTGTGAGGGTAGTCAGCAGGGGATAAAGGGCCTCACTCCACTCACCTGCACACGAGTGAAGGGCATGTTAGAATTTGAAAGAAAGGCTTCCAGGAGGTCATGTAAAGCAGCAGGCTCCCTACCCCACCCATCCTCTCTCGAACCCTCAGCCCTCTATACCTTCTGAGCCTACCTGCCCTACCACATGGCCTGGAAAAGTAGCAATAAGTTCTGCCCAGAGTCAATTCTGCTCTGCCCCTGTCTGCATTTGTTGCGGTAAGATAAGCAGTTCTACTCTGGTGTCATCCACATACACCAGACACCCTAAAACTACTAGTGATCCCTTCCTCAATAGGCAAGACTATGGCAGTTGAGGAAAACAACAAGAAAAGAAGCTTCTGCGGGTCATGACATGGCTGCAATCAGATTCTGTGTGCAAGAAGAGCCAATCTCCTTCCACAGCAAGGGGTTCCTCTACTCCAAAAGGAATGCCCACAGACAGGAGCATGCCATGGCCCTTCTCACAGCCAAGTGCCAACTCTGCTCCTGCCACTCCTCTCCTGTTCATCAACCCCCACTTCCCTGCTTGACGTCAACTATTTTCAGCTTAGTTTTCTTTCAGAAATGTAAGGGGACTCTGACCCTGCACCAAAACAGCCCTTTATAAATAGAACCTCGGAGGGGAAGAGCAAGGCTAGGGGCAGTTTTGGGCTGCCTTTGTTTCCTTCCTTTTTGGAAGACATCAAAAAGACATGTCACATCCAAAACCAGGCATCAGCACATCCCTACTGGGTGAAGCAGCATTCCAAACCAGCGCACAGCAGTGCACATCCTAAGGGATGGAGTGCAGGTGGCTGAACCTCAGACCAGCAGCTGCACCCAGAGGGAGCCTCAGTCTTTCACACACACTGGAGAAGGGAGGCCTGCCCTGCTCATTCACCATCTGGCTAGCACTTTAACTCCAAGAATGTATGGAGGAACTTGCCCACACTCAGCGACAGGCCAGTGTGGACTAAGTACACAGAACAGTCCAGGGTTGGAAGTAATCTAAATGGATATGCACACTGCATGTGGACAAGGGTTATGTCTGTAATGGAAAAAAAAGCATAAATTTAGCAGAAAGGTCTTAAAAAATATGACACAGTGACAAAGAACACTGGCCTGAGAAGTGGAAAATATGAGTTCCAGGCTGGCAGCGGAGCAGTGGGGAACACAGGCAAGGCCCTGGACCCCTCAGCCATGTGATACCTTTTTGGGAAATCAGAAAGAAGCACTAGATAGACTCCCAGATTTCACTCTCCCTCTGAACTCCTCAGACACCAAGTTCCAGTTTCTCGTTTCTCTGAAGAACTCTGTCAACAGTCTATCTAAAATGGCCAATTAAAACCAGGGAGTAGAGCAAGACAAAATAAAAAATCTTCCTCATAAGCCAGGTATGGTGGTGCATGCCTATAATCCCAGGGCCTGGGAGGCTGAGGCAGGAGGATGACAAGTTCAAGGTTAGCATGGACTATATACTAATATCCAACATCAAAAAACAAAAGCAACAACAAAGCAACAACAAACAAGCTCCCTCTGTCCCCAAACACTCTTCAGCAAGGACTGAAATGCTTGGATCAAAGGCAGTCAGTTCTACTTTGCTTTTCCCATTCTTATACATAGACAACTCATAAGATAATCATGGTCATTTTAACCTGAAAATAATCAAAGCATTAAATTTTTGTTAACTAAGTCAAGTTTCCCCATATGAGTTTTTCACTTTAATCATTTTTTTCAGAAATGAAACTCATATATGAATGACTGATTTGCTAAACTAGAAAAGAAGGTATAGAAGAAATGGCTAAAGGGCAGTACAATAATTGTCTTGGAAACGGGTGACATGAAACTACAAGGGGTGAGTGTGACGTCTTCGCAGACGGCATCAGACAAGCCTGGGAGGCTGGAGGTCAGGAAAGCCACCAGCCACCATTTCCAGCGTTTCTGATAGCCTTCTCATCATACCCACACAGAGGCTAAGAGCCCTTCTAAGAACGGGCACCTGTATGGCTGACTCTCAAGCCATTATCTGCAGCAGCCAGCTTGCTTCTGCCAAGGAGACAGCAGGAGCTGGGGGGGGGGGGGAGGTAGGTGTTTTGAGTATGAATAGAAACTCACAATTTAAAAAGATCCCAAGCCAAACTGATTTAAATGGCAGCACATAGTATCTACCCAGTCCTGTCAAATAAAAATGGCTGGGATGTTGAATTTGAGTAAAGGGTTTTCAATATGCTACTTCAAAACTAAAAACAACAGTTTACTACTTATTATTATTTCTTTAAAATCAGGTCGACTAAGCAATGTCCCAAGTACTGCGGCTGCTCTGCTTCTGGGGGGTGGGGTAAACTCCTTAGCTACCTGCTAACTGGTGATGCATGCTTGCTGCCTCGACAGCCCATGTTCCATACCACTTTGCATAACTTCAAGTGCTCTTCCAATCCACAGTCTGCCTTTGTTTTTGTTTTTGTTTTTTTTAAATTAACTCATCAGTATGAACAGGGAGTGAGAGACAGTGTATGTGTGTCTGTATGTTTGTGATTTATGTATATGGAGTATATGCATGTGTGTGCTCATGTGTAGGTGTGAACCCGTAGATGCACATATGAAGACTAGACGTTGATGTCTAGTGTACACGTCTGTCACTCCCATCTTACTCTTTGAGATAGGGCCTCTCAGTGAACCTGATGCTCACCAACCGGCTAACCTTCTGGCCAGCCAGCAATCTGGGGACCAGGCTGTCTCCACCTCCCTCCCCAGTGCTGGGATTACTGGTATGCTCTGCCACTCCTGGCTTTTCACTTGGGTGCTGGAGAGTCTGACGTCAGATCCTCATGAGTACACAGCAAGCACTTTCCCACCAAGCAATCTCTTCAGCCTCTGGATTGTGTGTGTTAACAGAGACTAAATATGCAGTACAGAACTCCTGGTGGGGAACCATTTTCACCCATTTAACATCAGCTGTAAAAAAAACCACCAGCGCTTCCCAAGTAGCAAAAGAGTTCTATAAGTCAGACAGAAACCAGAGTGTAGAGGAGCTCCTGAGCTCCTGCCACAGGCTCACAGGCCACCCCTTCTGGTCCTCACTGCTGGCCATGGTCCCAGACTTGCAGGCAAGTAGAGGTTAACTGTACATCTACTAAGGCCCAATGACCCTGAGGGTTTATCTGATACTGGGATCTAAGACCCACTCAAGGCTGCAGCATGGACATTTAGGGAGAGAGAACTATAAAAAGGGACGGAAAGCGAACTGGGAAGGTGTAACGAGCCCAGCTAGATACTACTTCAGTGAGGCTCTAGGACTGCTGCCAGGTGGCCAGAGAAAGTGGACTCACGACACTGTCAGTGGGCAGAACTGGCTCTATAAATCCTGTGCCCATTGTGTGCTGTACTCTAGATATAAAGCAGGTGTCTTTCCACCTTACATCCACTCAGAAATAGGAAATCATTGGACTGATCATGCAGATAATTTTTTAGAGTAAAAAAAATGGTTTGGGTGAAGAGAGGCGCATGCAAACTGTGAGAAAACCACAAGCCAAATACAGGGAGCTCATTAGGAACTAGATCAGGGGTTGCACACCCTACAATAGAGTCTTTATAGACAAGGAGGGCAACAGAGTCTCTGTTGCACTAACTCAAACAACAGGTGACAGACAATAAACTATTACAAATGCAGGCTGCGCCAGGATTTAGTTCAAGACTATAGTTCACCAACCCCTGAGCTAGAACCAGGGACACTAGGTTCTTCTTAAAAATGTAGCAGAAAGATTTCATTTTTAGCAGTAATCTCAACTGATGTCTGGTGAGAGTTCTAAAGCTGCATCCAGAAGCTGACTGGAGGATGCTACACCACCACATCCCCAGAGGATACAAATCATCCAACTGCGCCTTCAGAGCCATGTGCAAAAGCTCCACAAACATGTAGCTTTCTAAATCAGATCACCCACCTCAGGATCCAGTGCACTCAGAGGTAAATCGCATGAAAAGGCTTAGGATGCAGAAGGAAAAACACAATGTGCCTAGCAGCCTGCTTCAGGCTGCAATTCCTTCAGTCCCTTACCAAGCCTCAAAACAAAGGAAGTCCTAAGATATTTTCCCAACTATGGGAACACAAAACAATCTTAGATAATTGAGCTACAAGCACTACCTGAATATTTAAAGGACACCAGCAGGAGCCTTGAGCGGAAACCACGTACCTGGACTGGACTCTTCAGGAGGGGGGCTGCAATCTGCACAGAAATGGAGGGCAACAGGGATGATTAAGGAGCAGCACACAGTTCAAACATGAGCAACTCAGTCTCAGAGCTGCTGCATCAGCAGCTTGCAGCAAGATGGTTAAACATTGAGAAGAGGCCTGGGCTCAGGTGCCTCTTACTCAGTTTCCCAAGGGCATGCCTGCCGCTGTGAGCAGCTGAGCCCTCTCAGTGGTGAACAACGGTGATTCACCAGAGTCAACATCCATGTTGCTAACACTTCAACATAAAATGTTCTTCAAGATGAGTGGACCAACACACACAATGCCACAGATGCACACTGATGACGGTGCAGTGATGGAGCCCATGTTAGCTTACAACATCAAATGAGACAAACTGACCAAGAAAGTCTGCGTGTCAACTCTGGAGCCCACTGCCCTACTCACTGGGGAATCCAGAGTTCAAGATCTGCGCTCCAAACTGGTAAGGCCCAATGATAAACCAGTATGCCAAAAGAACATTATACCAGTCTTTAAAACCCAATTCAATTAAATGTAAACGTTGTGTGGTTAGAAGATGGCTCCAATTAGAAAACTCCTCCACTTAGGCCATCCCTCCAGCTGGGCTGCCCTTCCTCTAGATTGTCCCCCTCCAGCTTGGCTGCCCCTCCATCTGAGCTGCCCTCCAGCTAGACTGTCTGTCTAGTTAGACCGTCCCTTCAGTTAGGTCATCTCTCCAATTAGGCTGTCCCTCGAGGTCTTCAAAGAATACCAATTTTGATTCTAGTTCACTTTTATTGAGTCTTACTGGGATGTACTCATTTCAATTTCACATCTCCCTTCAAAATGGTAAAATTCCTAGTTAAATGGATTTGCCATCTGAGAAAAGACAGTTTGAAGAGGCATCAAAAGAGTAAAACTGGATTTCATTTTGTGTCTGAACTTCGATTCAAAGGATGTCTGTGGGAAACCGACATGAGAAGGTTTCAGATTCCCAGGACTAGCCAGGATGAGCTTTAGGGGGTGTCAGGAGGGACTGAGTATGGGTCCTTTCTCCGTTGTGTTTGGACATGACTTCATAAGGTGATGAGAGGGAAAGAAAATGTAAGACTTTCTGTAAGTTGAGGAGCTTGGCCTCTTTGGCCAGAACTCATACCCTGAGACCAGCTAGCTAACAGACAGGAACACTCAAGGGTGTGAAATAATGCAGCCAGAGATTTTTAGCCTCTATCTGGCTAATGAGAACTATCCCAAGCCTTGAAAAACTAGGTGTTTTTATATTTGTTTACTTTTACCACGCTATAACCTCTCCTCCAGGACTCTGAGTCATGAATGAGGGAGAGAGTCTAGGAGTCTGCTTTATGAAAGCCTGTGCTCATCTCAGGATGGGACCACTCTGGCAGTAGTTTCCTAGGGGACAATTCCATTTGGTAATCACCTTCCAACCCCAAGGGAGAAAGGAGGCCCCTCAGTGCTCTCGGAGCAGTGGCTCCTAGCTGGTCTTAGGTCATGGAGACCTTTGAGATTTGATGATCACGAGGGACTTTCTCCCTATTCGCTGGCAAACTTCAGCATGTGCTCTCAGAAGTGCAAGGGGCCGGGGTGTACACAGCTCCCAGGCTAACAATTCAGCATGTGACCTTAGGGTTACATGAGGCTGGGACGTACACAGATTCTGGGTTAACAATTCAGCTGTTGAGAAAATATTCCCACCAGGCTGGTCTGTCGACAAGCTCATAAGGTATTTTCTTAATTAGGGACTGATGTGGGAGGGCCCAGTCCACTCTGGGTGGTGCCACTCCTGGGTTGTATAAGAAAGCAGGCTGAACAAGCCAGCAAGGAGTGTTCCTCCATGGTCTCTGCATGAGTTCCTGCCATGACTTCCCTGGATGACAGACTAGAAGCTCTAAGCTCAAATAAACCTTTTCTTCCCCAAGATGCTTTCGGTGATGGTCTTTATTACAGCAATAGAAACCTAAGTAGGACAAGAACCACAGACAAGTGAGACCCAAAGACCAGCAGCCTGATCACACAACACACTAGCTCCTAAATTTTAAACCATCTAACCAGTTTTCTTTTGTATCTGCAGAAACTATTTAAAGTTACAAACAAAATCATATACATTTCTTCTTCAGTCCTGAAGTGGCCTCATTCATACACAGTAGGCAGGGGATCTACCATATAACTATATCCCTAATCCTACAGACAAGTTAAGATTAAAGAGAAGTAAGTAATGAACTTTGAGGGGAAAAAAATAAACAGGATAATGAGAACAAAACAGACACAAACTAGTTGGATGAATCAGTCACAGGCGTGGAAAGGTGACAGCTGGAATCCCCCAAGATAGAAAAGCAGAAGACGTGGACACTGCTGGGACAGAGCTTCAAGTACGACAGTGCCCTAGACACAGCGCAGACAGACGAGAGGCAAAGGACACGCAACACATGAAGGATGTATGGGGAACTCTGGCAGAGGCGCGTGATTCTGCCTTCAATGGCCACTGTCAAGTGAGAATTTCGGAGTCCTCGTCACACAAACCCTAACCCTGCACATCTTGGGTGTCCTTTCTGCAATTTAAAGCTCCCCAAGGAAAGGGAAGAGAAGGCAGAAGCTGGCGTGTAGCCAGGGCTCAGATGACTTGACCCAAGATTTCTTCAGCTCTTACAGAAGGAAAGGTGAGAGGCATGAAAGAGGAGGGACAAGGATCCACTTGTTTGCAGACACATCAGTCCTCAGCCTTCAAGCTTTCTTGAGGGTAGAACTCAATATGCTTTGTGTCCCTTTCTCAAATGTGCTCTACACTCAAGGTCCCCTCTAGGAGTGGGGTCAAGCAGGTCAGTTTCCCTGCTTCTTCTTCCCTGTCATCTGACTGAGTTACAAGACCTTCAGCAACATATTTCTGCTGGATAAGTATGCCCAGCCAATGAGAAGAGCGTGTGAGGCTGCAAGAGCCCCTCATCCAGCATCGTTCCTACAAAATACACTTTTTCTTTTTTTATCAGTCTATCCACTCACAACACAACAAAAATAACACCGCAGAGACATCTGTATCCAGCCCTCATTAGGTTCTCAGGTTGGCTTACAAACCTGAAAAGACTTTACAGCCATGACACTGTGGCCCAGGAGGGCACAAATCTGCCCATGGTGGTGATGCAGATTCAGTGGGCTCCAGCTGCATGGAAAGTCAACAGGAACCTCCACCCCACCTATCTGCTAGTGGACTCCCCCTGACACCCTGCATTGCCTGACAGCATTCCCCTGTAGTCTGCTTGGGGGGAGGCTGGTATGGAATCAGAGACACGGACACACAGACGTGATGAGGCACAAGTCGAGGCAGCATGGGAAGCGTGGATGCATACGCACGTGTGCTTGGGTGAGGATGGCATGCAGCAGTGGGCATGGAGGAAGGGCATGTCGAGGAGGGGGCATCACAGAAGGGGTCTTCCGGTCTGATCCAGTAGGCTTGGCTGTCCCGGTTACCTTTCTTGCTGGAGCAGGAGCCTGAACAGGGGAAAACGTCCTCACAGCCCTCCTCATGAAGACGCTCCTTCTGCAGCAGCTTGTCCACCCTCTGGATGATACACTCCAGGCTCTTGTCCACATTCAGCCACACTTTCTCCTGCAAACCAAGAAGATTGTCTGGGTCAATTTGAGCAACATAAAAACAAGAACAAACACAGCCTCCCCCATCTCTCCCCTAGACCCAGCCTGATGATGTCTAAATCGCCATTCAAAACAGATTTGTTTTTCAAAGACAATTTGCTGCCTGTGGTCACTGACTTAAAAGCTTGGCAGACACTGGCTGCCAACTCTATGGAAGACAGACAGCCTTCCAGTCTCAGCCACAGGTACTAAGAGCTCCTATCTGGCCTCCTTCCACTGCAGGCCACCTAAAATCACCACACACTGAGGTCTCCTTCTGATGGACAGGAGTGGAAACAGCTGGTGGCAGGGGTGGGGGAGATGGGAGGAGGGGAGGGCAGGCTGAAGTGAGCTGCAGAAACCCACACAGACCACAGAATGCCCGGGTTGGAGAAACACTATGCTGCTGATTAATAATTCACAGGATTCCTCTGAGCAGCAGCCCCAAGAATGACAAGTTGTAGCATGAGTCCCCTCCTAAAGAGACAAGGACCCAGTCCTCTGGTCACCTCTGGGACAACAAAGTGACATGTCAGGGGCAGTAGGAGCCTAAGCACCCGAGTGCTTACATCTGGACATAAAGAGCCCTAAAGGAAAAAGGGTGAGCAGAGGGCTGAGGAGGGAGAGGCCCAGCTCCCAGCGCAGTCGCAAACAATTTACATCCTCTATGGTCTGGAAATAGTCTACCTCTCAGTATCAAGAGGCCTAGAGCCATCAGGGAAGCCGGCCTGGAGCTCGCCAGCAAAGGAGCTGGCCTTCTAGGCACTTTGTGAGGGAAGACACTGGCAGCAGTTCTATAGTTCAGCAGCAGGGCCACAGGCAGGGGCAGCAGACTCACCCACTCCTCCTCATGCCAGTCCACCTGCAGGGAAGATCGGCTGCTCCTCCCTGCCCACCTGGCCATGAGGGTGTCCTGGTCATTCCGAAGCATCACCTGTTCCTCCTCAGTAGAGGTGGGGGAGGCCTTGGAAGCGATGTAGTCGGGCCGTGCTGCATTCAAGCCATGGATGGAGCTGGCCAGCAGCTTACAGTCACAGACAGTGACCAGCTGCCGGGTCTGTGGGTACACAAGTCAGGGTTGTTAAGCATGCTTTCTCTGCCACCCACCCTGTTCCACAGAGCCTACTAGGATAGCATTCTCTAGGATACCTGAATACAAAGGCAGCATGTGACCTGGTAGGGGCAATCTCAGCAAGAATTCCCCCCTGGGAGACTAGAGGACACAGGGGTCTATTTAAGATCTGTTTATCACAGAGGTGGTCAAGGAGGAAGAGAAGGGGCTGAGGAATCCTACCTGACATTTTCTGGCTATGTTTGCCTTCTACCCCAGCTCACTAGAGCAAAGGGCACCATCCTTAACAACATGGTAGAATGTACCCCAGCCTCCCAGGGGCTAATCCCCAGAAGTCACACATTACTTTGGTACAACTATTAAAGCATTTTTTTTTAATGTTCCAGGCTCTGAGGTACTGAACTCTCAGCATTGGACTTCTGGTGTTGGAGACTGCGACAGGAGCTCTGTCATTCCTAGTTTACTGCTGACAACTGCAGCTTCCTTTCTTAGTGGTCCTGGTCTGTCTTCATGCTGTGAAAACTCATGTGAAGAACATAACACATTATGAGCAGGAACAAGAGCTCCTGCCCAGCAAATCAGGAGTGGGTGGAGAGGTGTAATCAGAATCTGTGTGCAAAGGGAAAGAGACGGAGTATAGGAAGGATCACCATCTATCAGAAGTTGATAGTATGCAGTATTTAGTACACAGATTTTTAAGCAGGACTGAGTTATGGTTAAACAGACTCTTTAAAATTAATTATGAGTAAGCCAATAAGATTATATTGTTCATTTCTTATGTCTGAATAATTGCAACATAGGTGCTTACTAGGGAAGTCACTAAGGAAGCTAATGTGTGCAAGGAGTCCCAAGAAAAGAATGTGAAGATTTACTTGCTAGAAGACACATCAACACACTGGCTTCAAGTCACACCTGAGAATCAGAGCCTGGGCTCTGACCATGGGCAGATCCCCAAACTTCCCAGTGACTTCGTGGGTAGTGGGCATAAAAGAGAAACCTTCAAGGTCATCATGATGCCACTCTCTTAAACCCAGCTCTAGCATGCTTGGGTGGCCCTCGGTGGTCTAGTAGTTTCCAGAAATCCAAGGGATCTCTCCACCCCACATGCATCTGGGCAGCCCCTCCTACCTTGTCTGCCAAGATGGCGAGTGTCCTCTCAAGGCCAGTGGCAGACCTGTCCTTGGCCGCCCTTGAGAGTCGTTCTGCGTAGTAGCTAACTTGGGTTTTCAGGGTGTTGATCTGGGCAATGATCTCCTTGGCTCGGATGATGTCCTGTGGTATGTAGATTATGGACTGGCAGCTAGATGACGTACTAAAAGGAACAACAGGTCCTAAGGGGCTCTCCAAAGTCATCCATCCCACCCACAACTAACCCTAAAATAAAGGGGTATCTTCCTGCTGAAGTTTAGTCTCTGATGGGTAAAGGTCACTCTTGAAAGATCCTTTTTATCTAAGGAGAAGTATGAAATATACATATAGAAGACAAAGACTTGTGTACTTGTATCTGTATGTGTCTGCATATTTATTGCAAGCATGTACATGTCTATAAATACATTGGAATATCACTGTAATAATTACCCAATGCTGGGATATTATCTAGAAATTTCATCTATTAACTTATAAGCAATCTTTCAGTAGAGATCTGGGGTCTGCTTACACCAGAAAGATCAAATTACCACACTGTAATAGATGTTGGACTATATATTAAAACAAAGCAAAAAAACAAAGAACCAAAAACCATACTCTAATGTTTGCTTCTTCATTTGGTTATCCTGTGAGCAAACCCACATCTTTATCTCATATATTTATTAACCACAGCAAGTGCTCAATATTGGGACACCTTTCTCCTGTTATAGGACGTCCTTATGTTGACAACAACATTCCATAAGAGAAAGTAGAGACCATGCCAACAGAGGCAGGCCCAACACCTCAATACCTCTGAAACCCCAGTCCTTCCTCCTTCCTGGCTCCTTACCACCAAGCAGCATATGTATATGGGAAGAAGACGTCAAAGTGCAAGGCCAGCTGCTGCCCAGCATAATCAGGAGCCTCTGAGGGGCCAATTTCATATGCCCTAGCTTCATGGGTGGGACCAGCATGTGTGGCCATCCAAGATGGCAACGATAAGCTTATTTCTCTTAGCTCAGGTCTCAATCAAACAAACATTATTAATTTTTGAGACCATCTGAGGATGCCTAAGAAAATAAGGAAGAGACATAAAAGTCCCCAATGCAGAGGTCTCCTAGGAGTTAAGAACACTGAGCTCTGGACAGAATGTTATCTCTTTCCTTCTGAAATGAAGGGCTGACTTTGAGTTCCAGGAATGAGGGACAATAGTGACCCACACTAACTACATCCTACCTACCCAACTTGCTGGAGGTGAGAGACGCCTGAGACCTTTCCAGAGAGACCCAGAAGCAAGTCAGAAAGAAAGCACCACTGCCCTTTCTGGACTACAGGGCAAACATGCAAACACCACAAACCAAACTGCCCCAGAAAGAAACACCACCACCACAAGCCCACACACCACAACGGACAATGATGGATCTGCCAGAAGCCCATGCAGCAGACGGCGAGGAGCCTGTGCAGCACATTCCACAGCACCGCGAGCACGAGCTCCTTTCCAGTCTGCAACCTCTCCCAAATGAATAGCTGCTGCTGGGGACAATCAGGTCCTGGCACTACATTTCCAAAAATAATTTAAAAATAGAATCTCTTCTTTCTTGTCCTCAACTTTTAGAGTCTACATGCACTATTGCTGTGTGTGTAGGTCTACTGCTGTGTGCCCATGGGCTTGCACACTCTGACAGGTGTGCATCAGCCCCGCTCACCCTGTGCTCTAAGAAAGCAAGTTATAGTAGGACTGACACACGAAAGGGCGTGGTGAAGGATGAATGGGCAAGTTCCAAGAACTGCTCTTGGGGACATCAGAAATATGTAAGTGCATGTACTTAGCTCCCAAATTAGGAGCCACACCGAGGCAATGGGCCGGGTGCAGAGGCTCTACTGCCTTGTAGCACACAGCCCTTTCTAATCATTTTCTGTGTTCCCATCTCTTCCGGTAACAGGCCCAGGACAATGGCCTCAAGTTAAACCCCTACCCCAGATTTGCTGATCCATACCTCCTCACAGTGGAGGCAAAGGGCTAAACACAGCATGCCATAAGTGAAGTACCTAACATGAAAGTAACTCTGGCTATGAAGAGTGAGGCTGTCAATAAACAGTTGACAGTCCTGTGGAATTGCCTCCACCCCCAGATTTGGGTGTCCCCTGGCTCCCAGGCAGGAAGGTTCCCACCTGTCTTAGGAAAGATTGGACTCATGGGAGAAGAGTATAAAAGCATGATAGTAACCAAGCCCATCCTGAGATATGGAAGGTCTGGTGTCTTCAGTTAAGATGGAACCTGAAGAACTTTCTAGATCACGGTCACATAAAACACCTGGGTTGGAACTTACCAAGGAGTAGTGGGGCCCCTGCTCTCCATGTTTTACTTTCACCACCAATACCTCAGGCCCTTGGGAATTTGACTCCTACTCCTATGAAAAAGAGTGAGCCTTCCTGAACTAGGCATGATGCCACAGATCTGTAATCTCAGCTACTGAAGGCTGAGGCAGGAGGATTACAAGTTTGAGAAAAACCTTGGCTGCAGGATGAGTTCAAGGTCAACTTGGGTGGACTTAGTGAGTGAGTTCTGTCTCAAAATTAAAAAAAAAATTAATTGGTTGGAATGCAGTGAAGAGTTACTCTAGTTAATCTTAATCAATAAAATTAATCAATATCTGACCTGGAATCAGATATTGGGATGAAAATCTGGAAGAGAACTCATCAGAGAACTGAGAGTAGCAGCCAGGAATTAAGCTTTGCCTATCATGTGTTGAACAAAAAAAGAAAAAAGAAAAAGGTTCTTAATTGCCCTGGATCAACAAGGTGAGTCACTGGGTAAAGGTGTATACTGCCAAATGTACCACTGAATCATCATTCAGGGCCCTGAATGGGCTCGTCTGCATCCTGGGAGGAGGCAAACTGGGTCTGTCTCTCCTGAATGCAGGAGTAAATTGCTGTAGGCTTTGAAAGGAAGGCTGCAGACTGCAGACTGGCTGGCTATTCATTATCAAAGAACATTGCAGTTGGAAGGAAGAGCTCTGCCTACAGGACACGTAACTCGGAGCCACACAGCAAATGGGATGGAGCCACCCCAGATGAAGAACAGCACAGGCTTTCTCTGCACAAGAGCAAGAATCAACATACACTCTCTCTACAGACAGAAAACTCACCAACACTCCTCAAAACTGCTAAAGAAAAAAAACCAAAAATGAAGCATTAGCGATTATTAACAAAATCCTACAGGCAAAATAAAATTTAAAGGCTGACTGATTTTCTTTTTCTCAAAATACTTAGAGGCAATTTGCTGAGGCCATGATTATGGGCATAAAACTTATGAGTCAAATTCTTATTCCCTGGAGCAAGTTTTGGCCTATACTCAAGCCCCCCGGGACACCCCACTAGGGCACAGGACATCCACATCTAAAGGAAGCTCAGAGAGCACACACTGTCGGAAAGTGGATTTCTGACAGTAGTACGGTTACATAAAATCTGTATCATACATCTGAGAGACCACAAGAGGCACTGGGAAAGTAAATTCTGAGGCTAAAAAGTGAAGTCATCTGGCATCAAAACTGCAACCTTTCAGGGACAAGGGATGGCCAGGTGTCTCCCTGGTTGGTCTAGGATGAACGGACTTTCTCTCTCAGGGAACTGGTCCGCCTCAGCTCATACATTCACTCTTTCCACATGGCATCAGGCAATGGCAAGACACATACCCTTCGGCTGCCTGCACAGAAAGAACTGCGATGGCCACTGGAAGCTCTGCACTTCCTACTCCTTAGGGCACTGCGGACATGAATGGCCAGGCAAGTCTGGCTCCCCAGTTTGTCTGCTCGGTAGGGAGCAATCAAGACTGACCGCCTCACTAGAATGCTGACAAGGCTTTGCTGAGCCTGGCCTTTCCATGCTTCTCCTCCCCATATTCAGGGCTGGTTGACAACACTGGAATGTCTTTTCTTGCTCCCTGCTCAGTCATCATCCACACCAGTGGCACTCTGACCTGTCATCCTGACTCAGAGGGTCCCTGACGGGCCACTGCTCTGACCTGTCCAGCATCGTGATCCAGCTGTGCAGTACCCTTACTCTGGCCACAGCAGCAGAACTGGGCAGGTGTACAACCAACTCCCACTTGCGCTAGGGCCTCCTCCACTACCTCTACCTGCCACCACATGGGAGCCTTTGGGGCTCCCGGTATCTTTGTTTCCTGTCTCCCAAACCATCTTCTTCTCAACTCAGGATCACGGTCTGCAGAGACATTCCAGTAACACCTTGTCTTACTCCCTCCCACCTTAACACTTCTCTGCTAACCCACCTGCTACCTTGTCCCTCCTGGGATAACCAGACTACTCCTGCCTCTCTGGTCTCCTCTCTACCTCACCTTACATACATGCATGCCCCACAGTCACCCAAACACACTCAGACCATAATAGTCTCCTGAAACTGAGATCTTTATGCTACTTCCTCCACCTCACAGCCTACCCGAGAACTTCACAAGATCACTCATCTCACACAACACTCTCACCCCTTCGATTCATTTACATTTTGCCAGGTGACACATTGAAAGGGATCCAAGAAATGCTTCGTCTGAGAGGCCTTTCCACCCTGCCTATCTGGCAACGTTCTGCTCAGGACAGAACTGCACAACCCTCTAGGTCCTTTCAGCAGTGGGAATAGGTGCCACCACTATCCTTTAGGAAAGGACACAGACTGCCAGGGGCTTTACAAACCATAGAATGATCCCTCAAAGTAGAGTCTCGTCAGAGGCTTACAAGTTTAATGTTCCACCAACTGAGCAGAGACGCTGAAGGAAGCGGAGGCAGCAGGAACTGCAAAGGCAGCTACCTGAAGCCACACTCAGGGCCCAGTCTGTGTGCTGCTCACATGGAAAGAACTGGACTATTGATTAGGAGCCCTCGCAACTCACTCACTCAGCCACACACACACACACAGTAGCACAGGGTTCCTATAGCAGCTCCTCCAGCCACGCAGAAGCAGATCAGATGGCTGCATGTTTTTGCGGTTTTGTTTTGATTCTTTATTTTAACTCCACAAACATCAGACACAGCCAGGCAAGGACCACAAATACGCTCCTTTACTTACTGTTTCTTGGTCTCTTCAAACTTGTGTAGCTTTTTTCGAAGACCTCCTGACTTAAAACCTTGGCAATGTGCAGCTGGGGCTCCGATAGTGACAACGTCATAGTTCTGATCTGAGTGACAGAAAGCTTTTCTCCGTTACTCTGGGATCAGGCCTGTAGACAGGCCAGCTACAGAAATATGCACAGCACTCTGGGATCCAACAGCCCACATGCAAACAGCCTATGGCTCCCTGATCCTATATCCAGGGACTGATATCCCAACACTGACTATTTAGTAGGAAAGTTGGTGTCTAAAGGTAAAGCCACCGGGGCTGCTAAATGCTCACTTCTACCCTCCTGGGAAAGGCTCACTGATGAGTAACTTTCTACCATAAAAAGAAAAGGAAGTTGAAGATATATAAGGAAGAGGCTTGGACTCTGTAATTGAAATTCTTCAAAGGACTGTGGGGGCGTGTCTGTGTACGTGTATGTGTGTGTGTGCGTACGTTTGTGCCCTCCTCATGTTGTTTTCTCTTGCTGCCCAGCAATGGAGCATATGAGAAAAAATGAGCCAGATATAGGGCAATTCAGGGGCCAAGTATACAGAAAGAAAGGAGTGGAACACAATTCAACAACAGAGTAAGAAAAATAAGTACCTGAGCCTCCATCATCTTGAACTCTCATCCGTTGTATGTGCAGGTTTGTGGGAACAAATTCTAACTTTTTATCTGCTTTCAAACTGCTTGCTTTAAATGAAGGACCTAAGGAATAGAACACGAGAAAACAGAGCCATAAACGTGCATCATGCAAGAGCAGGAAAGCAGTAACCCAGAGCTGCCAATGCATGGAAACAGGTGTATCTCCACAGAGGCCTAGAAAATTCTGAGTGGCCATTGAAGACAACAAGGGACTGGCTCTGAATGCTACCCAGTGAGCAGACCAGGGATGAGGGCTTTAGGTTACAGCAGTGATGAGGCCATCCCTCCTGTGACTCAGCCCACGCACAGACATGACACACAGATGTGATCTTAGGCAGGGTGGTGCCAGAGGACCATGCCAGAGACAACCTGCCACCTCTACAGATTGCTCTCATGCAAGAGCCTAGAAACTGGTCTTTCTGCCACAGCACAACTCGATCTGAAGAGATGAAGAGGTTTGCTCCCCACCTTGGGTCCATCAACAGGAACAGGTTACACAGCACTGAAGCCTGCCTGCCCTCTCCAGTACATCCCAGTACGTTCCCTCACACATGTATGTCGCTAGAAGCCAGACAATGTAACCCGTCACCACGATCTTATTTCTAGAATCAGAATCCAGAATCCACAACTAAACGAGGAATCTCTAAATCTCTAAATGGTAAACATATCTACCAGCCAAAGGGATTCGATGAGAATGACAACGGAAGAGGAAGAAATAAAGACTGCAGCCAGTAAGAAACACCTGTGGCTCCCAAGCAGACGGCAGCCGTGTGCTCTGCCTTTCGTCACAGGAGTCCGACAGCCACACGGTGACTCTCAGACCTGCGGTGTGCCTGTCTCGTGACACTGCAGGAAATATAATCAAGACCCGTGTTTAACTAACATCCTCAGACTAGCTGGATGCTTTTGACACTTGAGAAGCTCTATCCAGTAAATTCAGTTTGCACGGATTTCACGCTTTCTCAGGAACATTTATCCAGCATTTATTGGGTAGGTGCCTCAACCCTTCAGGCAAATGCTGCCATCTCTCTAAGTGACTCATCAGACTTGTTCGAGCTTGGACCTGCGGCACACACCACCATCTTGTCTGTGCTCTGGTTTCCTCTGAGCTAAGTTGATGGACAAGTTCTTACATTCTGTATGAAAGTCGCATTAAGGGTTTAAGACTTTCCTTAAACTGACGGAGCATCATATAGAAGGAAAGAAACCAAAGATAAATAATACTTGCAAAGAAAAGAAGAAAGGGAAAAAGAAATGCTGTAATTATACAATAATCTCAAAAATAAAATAAAAATGCATCTTTATAAAATAAATGTTATAAGAAAAAGAGGGTACTTTGAAAAATGGAAAAAATTAAGAAATGAAAAATTCATCCCATTTGGGATAAAAAGAAAACATTAAAAGGAACTCTCATAGCTTGAAAATCAAATATCATTTTAGAATAAACAGTGGTAGGATGTTTTCTTGCCATGCAGGGAGCCCTGGGCTTAAACCCAGCCTCCAATTAGGAATAAGAAAAAGCAAGTAAGAAAAAAAAAGTTGAAGTGTCTGAACTTTACTTTCTCTTTCAAGTCTTAAAATAGAGAGCTGCACTCTGACAACTTACACATTCAGTAAGAATGACATTGAACATTTAAACGAGAAAACTACTTTGCTTCAGACAAACAGATAACATCCTTTTGGTCCTCAGCAGTGTAAGACCCAGAAGAACCCACATAAACCAAGACACCCTGAGACACTGCCTTGTGCCAGCCTGTTCTACAGCAACCGTCTTAGGAAATAACACCACAGAAAGTCTTCCTGCAATTTACCAATTTATCATTTTAATTAAGATCTGAAAAGCTCGGAGTTGAAATAATTCACACCTACATGAGAATCTATTTTTAAAAACCCACTCAAGATAATCAGTGAGCTTCTGAGCCACCCGGGCCTTCAGCTATCTGGCTGGGGACGTGGGATATGCATGCACCTCGAGAGGACAGGACCATACCCACCTTTGTACTGATGGAGATCAGTCAGATTTTCCTGGTAGGTGAGGATGATTGTCTGATACTGGGTGACAATTTGCCGCCGGAGGCTCTCCCAGCAAGGGGACAGCTCCCCCAACTCTTCCAGCTCACATACTCTGTAAACAAGACACACACATCAGGCCACAGGGCTGACTCACCTCCCCTGGAGCTGCAACGAGAACAGTATAGGAGAAGCAGCGGTGCTGTCTGTGGGCCAGGCCAGCAGTTACACTGCCAATCTAAAGGCAACCAAGCAGCCAGACACAGGATGCTGGGAGAGATCACTGAGTCCAGGAGAAGCACATGGAGGAACATTACAGGAACTAGGTAAATGCTGAAGGACAGCCGTGGGTGTGGGGAGGGGAAGGAGCAGTTAAGGAGTAGCTCTGCCTGGTGCCCTTGAAGGTACCACGCAGGCACTGGCATAGTTCTCTGCAGGATGATGCTATTCTAAGAGCAGAAGAGACAGGGGATGTGAGAAATCACTCTAACAACTCCCTTTCCATGTCAAACACACGGCGACAGTCTCACACTTCTGGGAGTGGTCCCATCTCCCTTTCTGAGACTCCTTGCTGCCCACACTGAGTTTCTGCCAACAACTTAAGTGGCTCTAAAGCACCTGCACAATGAAGGGCTTTTTCAAGCAGCGATGCACGGTGAAACAAAGTAGGCAACAAGAAAAACAAATCACAACATGAGAGTGGGGAGACGGCTCTGTGGATAAAGGTGTTTGCTGCTAAGCCTGCCGGTTAGATCCCCAAGAGTCACATAGTGAAAAGAGAAAACTGAGTCCACAAAGCTGTTCTCTGACCTGCACATGACATCACGGCACATACGCCTCACTAGAGTGGTGAAAATAAAAAACATGAAAACTGAAGATGCACAGGGAAACTGATTATAGCTATGTAAATACACATAAATAACAACCATAAGTTAAAATTATGAAAAAATATGCACATAAACAGAATAAAACAGCAGAATACTAGCTGGTAAAATTTAGGTGGAAGGTATGTGGTATTCACTGATTCCTGCTATTTTTCTAATATTTCAATTTTCTTTTCAGGGTAAAAATGAAAACATCTGTATTAGGATACTGGGACTCTGATTACATGGTATTAATCACTAACACTGATTTAGAAAAAGGTGTGGAGGTCACGGCCTTAGACAGACACGAAAAAGCCTCACTCTTACTTGGAACTGAAAAAGGCCTATGCCTCAGGATAAGAGCTTTGCTCCATAGCAGGAGAGCGCCCTGAAGGACCGTCTTCCAAGGATGAGAGCTTAGCTCCATAGCAGGAGAGCGCCCTGAAGGACCGTCTTCCAAGCAGGACGAACAAGAGGGAAAAGAGACAAAGGGAAGAGGGTAGCCAAGCCTCTGGGACTTCAAGAACACATCCTTGTGAAATTCTTGCCCAGCAATCTATGAGACAGAGGAGCAAACTAAGACTCCGGTAGGCTAGGGCTGCTAAGCCAACTGAGGCAGAGCCTGGGTCTGCGCTGTAGCATGTCTAGGGCATGGATGTGCACATGACACGGGGTGCTGAATGTGACCTCACCTGGCTGCATCTTCCTCCAGTAGCAGCTTCACAAACTGCCGAGGCACGTGCAGGGAGAGGACGCTCTCTGCCATCTGCTCCAGGATCCGTAGGTGGTTGCCATCAGTGGTTGGGAACCGGTACATGCGGCAGATGGCACCACCGAACACTGAGGTGAGAACACAAGAAGAAATGGCTGCAGACCTGCTTGCATGGCTCCCCCTACTCAGGCCCTCAGGGACCCTCAAGCCCTGTTTTTCCCAAAAAAGCTAACAAGAAAGCAAACAGCAACAACAAAAAACAAAAATTACTTAAACCAAGCCCCGCCAAGTGTCTGTACCTAACACTCGTCCCTGTCAGAAGACAGAATTAACTCTAAAGTGTGAGGAGCTGGGGCAGGACACGGTCAGTCACTAAAACCAATGTCAAATGAACGTGAAATAAAGGAGCCCTTTGTTAAGAGGTCACTGGCTCTACGTGCTGCAGAAAATGCTGGACTGAAGAACAGCAGCAGACAGGTGGCATTTGGGGCACGTCTGTGACACTCACAGTGGGTGGACAGTCACAAGAGAGGCAAGGGCCATCAACAGAAGAAGTTGCTTACCTGATTTCAGCAAGGTGTCTTTTCGCAAAGAAGCATATTTGGACCGGATTCCCAATGCCTCGGTCAAGCTCTCATCAACAGGCAGAACCATCTGATAACAGAGAACCACAGGAACACTGAGACCGAGGACTCCAGAGAGCCAGCAGAAATGGGGCCTCGTGCATCACAAAGGACCTGGCAGCTGACTGTGCAGCGTTAATCTACAGTGTACATGCTGATGTCCCTCCCCACACTCCATGTATGCCTACTTCTCACCACATGCCTGTCTTCTAAGACATCTCACCGTGGGTTTCAGTGTTCAGGTACCAAGAATATCCTCAGTGCTAGTGTTCTGAGCATACTTCAGGTAAAATAAGGTATCTTTGTATTTATAATGCTTCCTTGACAGTGATAGGTTCTTAAACTGGAATTCTAAATTGGTAATAGTGTCTGGGTGAGAGACTGTGAGGGCCACAAGGAGGCAGAGGATAGGAAGGGTGGGTCCGGGAGGATGTGGTGTGAAGGAGGTGACTGTCTGGGAAAGGCAGTTGCTACCAGAATGTAATGGACGGTACAGGTCTGCATCACCTCTTCACTCCCACTGCCCGCTCTGCCTCCATCTACACCTCCAGCCAAGCTAGTCTGCTCTCGGTCCTGTGCCACAGAAGGGGCGAGAGCGGCACAGGGAGCAGCAGCCAGTTCCAGGTCAGCAGGGCTTTGTACATGAGACCAGGAGCCTTCCCATTCCACGTGGTACCATACCCCAGAAAGACCTGGGAGTCGCATGGAAGGCAGTTATCAAACAGCAGGTCCTGCCTTTACTGACACAGATGTGCACAAAGAGATTCAATCCTCCTATCCTTTCCGAGGGAGATGAGAAAGGTACCAACTCACCCTCCCATTGACAGTGTCCAAAGACCGGGTCACAGGGGGGCGCTGGTCTGACTTCTCCTCCATTTGCCAGCCGATCACAGTTATGTTACCTACGCGGTCACTCTCTGCAGACCTGCAACAAACATCATGTCTTGATAAGCACTGGTTTTAAGGCAAGGCTCAACCATCCTGTGGCACCAGGGTCCTGGGAGCAGTAAGGCGCCATCCAGACAGGTCTTACCTCTCCTCGGCAGACACCACTGCCTCCCCCTAGACAGTCTCTGGGAGGATGGAGGGGCAAAACTTCAGACCCTTTCAAAGGAATAAAGCAAACACCAACCTCAGTGTCAGATGCAATCTGTGATGCCTGTCCTGGAGCAGATCTTTGACAACGAATGTTCCGGAGCCCAGTAAATACATCTGAGGGCAACAGGGAGGCACAGTGTAAGGATACTTGGTGTCCTTCTGATCTAAGTGCCACAGCCCAGGGAAATTGGGGGTTTCCTAAAACACCTCCCTCCTACCCTCACCTCACAAACCCATCACAATGCTCAGAAGTGAAATCCAGACACAAGCATGCTTTGATGTAGGTTAGCTCATAAGCCAGCAGCGAACTCAATCTTGTGCTCACACCTTGCTAGATTGTTACATAACTATAGGTGAACGGAGACTGTTCCGCAAACCACACGTTACTTAACTGTTCCCTGAGATCTATCTTTGACATCATACACAGACAGCTTGATTTGTGTCATCTGATTGATAAGGGAGTCTTGAAAGAAGGCAATGCTGCTGAGAAAGATAGGATTGTTGGTTCCCTGGAACAGAAAACAGAGTTGGATTTTATTTTAAGGGACTGCCTTTGAACTGTCCTCACGTTTTCAGAATGAGGAAACTAACACTTTCACTGATTTGCTCAACACAAATGCTAACGACAGCACACGGCAACAACCACAGGAACACACAGCCTGGCAAGATCACCACCAACCCAACGTGGCCCACAGCAGAGGACTCACTCCTAAAGCTTCCCCACTCAGGAGCGGACTTTCCGAAGCCTGAAATGAGCTTGGGTTTGACATCCACATGCACTCCTGGCAGTGCACTTTTGGGTGTGCATATATTTAGACTGTTACTCAGGGCTGCTCCTGTCGGCTGTGTGCACAGGCAGATGAAAGAGGAAATGGACGGTTTCAGTAATTATTTCCAGACTCCTGTGTCTGGAATAATTAAAACTGACCTTTTAAGAGCATCCTCTTTTAGGAGCAGGTTCTAGTTTCTGGATCACAGGTGTCTATTTTCTGGCAGTTTTGCCTCTGCATTCCATCACATCCTTCTCAATGACACTGAGCACCTCAGCCAAGCAGGTACTGGGCCTCTCTGTACCCGAGTGATGCTTGGTCAGCAGATCTAGTCTCTCAGTGCCTGCTGGGCAGCCCCTCCTCCCATCTTCCTTCCATGGGCCCCAGGAAAGCAGGCTAAAAATCTGGGACACAACCTTGGTACTCCTTGTCTACTGAACAGGCTTGACTGGGAGACCACAAACCCTTCCTACAAGGTCTACTTCTGGAGCCTCTTCCCACACACCTGTTCTTCCCACTTCTTCCTTCTGCTAAAGTCACCCTGCACCACTCCCCCAGACACCTGTCAGAGTCATGAGACGTCCCTGCTCAAGTCCTGCAGAGCTGACTACTGTGCTATATCACAAGCACCCTGGCTCAGCCTACAAAGCTTGTTTCTTGCACACACTAAGCAAGATACAATCATTTCTTAAACTCCCATGATGCTCGGCTATCAGCTGTCTTCACACAACTATGTAGAGTTCTAGACTAGAAGCGCAGGCTTAGCTGTGAGATCTGCAGAGCCAGGGACCCATCTGGGCTTGCTGCAGCAGAATTCCCTGACGTTCTACCTAGGAAGCCTGTCAGAAGGGATGCTGCTCCTGTGTCCTCTCTCTGCTACCCCAATGCTCCCCATGCCTTCCTGTGCATGGAAATGACCAAGCAAACTTCAGCCCCTCCCCCATGAGAACTCTTGATGCCCTTGTGGGTTTGGTACCAATAATTAGTACAGAGCTTAGCATGAGGCCAGTGTTCAACAAGCGCTTAGACCATCTATGATCTGACTTGGAGATAAGCTTCTGAGAGAATCTCAGAAGGCCTGGCTTCTAAAATGGAAAACTTGAGATAAAATTACTATTGTGTTCTTATATAAAAGTATAGAAATATAAAAAATAAAAATACAGCTTAATTTGATAATTATTCATATTACAAATAAGACTCTATGGAATTCCATATCAGAATTCCATACCATACCATAACTTCACACTTCAAATCATAACTCAAATACATAGATGAGTTATATATATAATATGTATAGCTAAACTATTTAAAAATATTTTTGTAAACTTCCCTAGGTAAAACTATACAAATTACTTTTAAAAGTGCACAAAACACAAAAGAATGCAAAAAACAAAAGTTAGTAAACCAACACAGGCATGGCCAGGCCTAACAGGAAACACTCTTCCAAGCACTGATTAATGAGCATCATCCTCTATTGACAGTAGCTAACAGAAAGTGACAGGAAGAGGTGGGTCTCATCTCTTAAAAGTCAACTAATCATAGGATCACTTCTTTAAAATAGCAACCAATAGTTTGTCAAAACTCATGATGTGGCAGACTAAGGGCCACCCAGGAGAGCATGACAAACGGTACAAATGAACTGAAAATCATGGGGAATAACTCACAGACATGGAACTGAAGCTACAGATACCCAAGAACTGAACAGCCCTTCTGCAAGGGTCACAGGCAGCTGTAAGCATGAGAGGAACCTGCAGCACCCACCTCAATGATCTCCGTCTGCGCGTGCTTCGTCCAGAATGCCTGCGGAGGGGTGGTGACGCTCACAGCCACAAAACTATTTGGTTTTCGATCTAGTGAAGGAGTGTGCAGCTCACTGCAAGCTACAGAATCAAGATGTGGAAAAAGGATTCTTTGGACCAAGTTTAATTAGTTCATTGCTTTAAACAAACCCAAAGAAAGCTTAAAACAATACTCCCAAGGACAACATGTTCACATGGCCAGCAAGAGAGTGGATTTTAAAAGCCTGTTTTCTCTTCTTTTCCCCTTCTCCCTCCTCACATTATAGTAAGGCAGGAGTAGAGAGGAGCCTATGCTGAGGGTGGCCTTTTAGGTCCACAGAGAGTAGAATTCAGAGCCAACAAATGAGTTCCCAAGCAACACGAGCCTGAGTACTATGACTGCTGTGGCTAAGAAGGATAACCCACGAATCCCGGCACATAGGTGGGTGCTATACTAAAATTAAAATTCTATGACAAAATTAAGCTATTTTTAAGAGGAAAAGCCATACTTACAACCTATATCAAATGTAAGATTTCTTAAATGTTTCTTTTTAGAACTAAACAAAACTTGGACCATTTCAATTAATCTGTCATACTTATGACCTCAAAAAATATATCCTAAGTCTAAGACAAAATGACCCAGGGAAGGATTAGTACACTGCACTGACTCCCACAAGTTCCTGATATAAAAATACACTATGAAAGGGGAGAAATTGCTCACCCATTGAACTTTAATATGCCATCGCTAATAATACATTTCCTTACTTGAAAGATACTAAGGAGCTAGAGAGAGAAGGCTCAGCTGCTCTTCTAGAAGACCCAGGCTCAATCCTCAGCATCAACATGGTAGTTCACAACTGACTAGAACGCCAGTTCCAGGGAATTTTATGACCTCTCTTATGGGGACCAGGTTGTGTGTGTGTGTGTGTGTGTGTGTGTGTATGTGTGTGTGTGTGCGCGCGTATGCGCGTGTGAATTTACAGATACATATAAAATGTCTTTAAAAATAAGAAGGGTATTAAAATTTACTAAGTCTTTTAGCTTTTTAAGACAGCAGATGTCCTGGGGTTAGAGGGCGGTATCAGCTGTACAGCTGTGCAAACCATCTAACACCACAATGTAAAAGTTAAAGTGGCAGCTATCAAGCTATCTGTATTTTCATCACTACTAAGCATATACTATCAACTCTAATTCAAAACTACATCCTCACAGCCACAATTGGTAAGACGCATGCAAGAACAAGATGACAGGAAGACAGTAAGGATGAGGAAAAGCAATGGAAAGAAAAGTCTGAGAGAATCAGAAAAACAGAAAGTAAGGGAGGAGATGTGATGAGGGATTCCCCTCTGTATGCTGTGACTACGGGATGCTCGTCTGTAACTTGGAGAAGAACAATGTCTTGCTGTGTTCTGAGTAGTTGTAGCCGAGGTGGTAAATCCTTCATGACCACTGTCCCCTGAAAGTACCCTCCATTGTCTCAGACATCTGAACATTTGGCTCCTAGTTGGTGACCCTCTCTGGGGAGGTTTAGGAAATGTGGCCTTGCTGGAGGAGGTACATCACTACGGTTGGGCTTTGAGCGTTTAAGGCCTCTCTCCCTATGGTAGTTGCTCTCTCTGCTTTGTGCCTGAAGCTCACAGTGTGCGGAGCCCTCAGCTTCTGCTCCAGGTAACATGCTGCAGCCAGCTGCCGTGCCTCCCCTAGTATCATGGACTCTCCCTCTAGAACCCAAATAAACTTTCCTCTGTAAGCTGCCTTGGTCATAGTGTTTATCACAACAGGTGAAAAATAACTAATATATTGTCCACAGCCAAATCACTTTTTGGCTCTAATTATACAGTACCTGCCATAGATATTACCGGACCAGCTAACGTTCCCTATCATACACACGGACATGTTCCACTTTAAAGTCACTATTCAATGACCTAGAAAAAAGTCCTCCCTTCTTCTGTGAATTTCTACTGGAATCATCTGCCTGCCCAAGTAGCATTCCACAGCACTGCTGAGATTGCAAGGCTAGACTGACACATCCTTTCAGTTTTGAAGGTTTGAAAACACCTTTCCGCATCTGAATGACGGGAAGGTATTCTCTCCAGGTAGTTATTTTCCCTAAGACCTTTAAATAGATCATCTCAGAGTTTCTATGTTTTCCTGCTATAAAACCACAAGTCAGTCTAATTATTGCTATGATGAGCACTCTGTGTGTGTATGAATACATGAGTGTGTGTGGGTAGGCTCATCTTAAAATTTCCCTGAGTTTGATCTCCAATCGTTCTACTATGAGGCACCTAGAAATCTTCTTTCTTACTTTATTAGTTTGGAAGAAATACTCAACTATAAGTATTAAACCCTTGGTTTTTTTTTTCTTTCTTTCTTGAGTACAAGTAGATTAAACGTGTTCACAGTTTTTGTGAGAACTGTTAGCTTTTTTTGAGACAAGATCTTACTATGTGGCCCTGGGTAGCTGGAAGTGACTGTGGACACTAAGAGGGCTTCGAACTCCCAGAGATCGGCCTGCCTCTGCTTTCCAAGTGCAGGGTTAAAGGTGTGCTCATCATGCCCAGTCTGTCTTCTGACATACATTTTCAGGAAAAAAAAAATGTTTTCCTATTGGGTAAACTCTGGCTTAAGTCAAATGAAGCCAAGCTCCATAAGTAATTTATTTTCTTTTCCTTCAGACAATGGTCAAATAATGATAGTTATCGTAAGAATGGGACTATGTAAGGTCTCTGATTTTGCTGAATATAATTCTAGGTAGGCTGCCTTTTTTAAGAACTTGTAATGTTATTTTTCATCTAGAAGCTTGTAAGTTTTTTCTCCTTTCCTGGGAAGCTGAAGTTTCTGGAGACACCTGCTAGTGGACACACTGGTCTCTGGCTGGCCTTTCTGCTAGGGAAAGACAGTTCTGCTACTTAGAGCCTGCTGTTCCTCTTTCTGTCTCTCTCAACACTGATCTCTGATTTCTTAGCCACCAAAGGTTACAATGCCAGATTGTATCTTATCTCTCACGCAAAACTCTATAATCTATACTTCTTGATACTTTTTGAGCTGGGGTTGTTTCTTTGTTAATTATGAACTCAGTCTTCAGCAGAGTAGCTTCTTCGACTTTTAGTGCTTTATGAAGATAATTCAGCACCCTAAAGCTCTCACAGAGCTATGGAACCATTACAACCATCTACCTCCTTACTATAGCCACATTTCAAAGGGGAAAAAATCTATACTCATCAGCAACCACTTTATCATCCCTCTTCTCCAGCCTCCAGAAGCCACCAATCCTTTCTGCATCGCTTTGTCTCCTCGGGACACTGGTATACAGCAGGGTTATGCAGGGTGTGCCCTTCTTGCAGCTTTCTGAGCCTCGCTAAAACTATAGCATGCACCAGTGCTTTGTTCCTTTCTATTAATGAGTAACTCCTGAATGAACACACCACATACTATTCAATTGATGGATATTCTGATTGTTTCTACCACTTGGTTACTACAAATAATTCTAGAAACACTTGTGAACTAGTTTTTGTTGAACATATGTCTTCATCTTTTTGAATGTCTGCTGGATATATAATTCTAGTTGGTTGCCTTTTTAAGAATTTGCAATGGTATCCCTCTGCTTCTGTACTTCATCTTCCTTCTTTTCTTCCTCCTCCTCCACACCCTCTTCCTCCCACACCCTCCTCCCTTACCCTGCTCCTCCAGTATTCTTAGACAGGGACTAACTCTGTAGCTCACAGTTGGTTGATGCTTTTTAAATTCTGTCCTTGGTTTTCAAAAGCATAGTTAGGATGAATTCAGGTGTAGATTTCTGTGGGGTTTATCTCAGCTCTGATTGCAATTTCAGAACACAGGAAATAAAGATCTTAAAATCTCCCCAGCTGGGGCTGGAGCAATGGCTCAGCAGTTAAGTGAGCTTGTTGCTCTGAGGCTCTAACTAGCATCCACGTCTGGCTGCTCTCAAACGCCAGGAACTCCAGCTCCAAGGGATTTGGGTACACATGCACCCATATTCATTCATTCTCTCTCCTCTCCTCTCCTCTCCTCTCCTCTCCTCTCCTCTCCTCTCCTCTCCTC